GAGTGATACAGATAAACATGTATATATAACTTTGTACCATCATTTTTTATACATGTTTACAATGGGCAAAAACTAAAAAAAATAGAAATACAGAAATAAACACTAACCATAGATGCTTTCAAAGTTATAAGAATATTACAGATACATTGATATTTCAAAGTCAGCTGTGTATGCATATACACCCGACTCGCTATGTTCCCAGGTTTGGCTCACTGACCGTGATCGAATTTAACAAAGAATAATGGCAAATGCTTTTCAAGACACTGATTGGGAAATAGCAAACAATACAATTTCTCATTTAACCGGCAATGTCCTCCTCGAGTTTCGTTGAGGTGAACTGTTATCTTACTAATATCAGGAAAAGGCACAATTACATTCATTGACAGTCTCGGCGACTGCTGACTCTTCACTGCTTGCTGGTCCCTATATCTCTGACTACTCCTGACTGACTGTTCATTATATGGACACCGTCTGGGGTCTCACAACCCCTATCCGTCCACTTGTATTCCGGAAAAGGGGACCATCCATTCAGCTTTTGGGTGGCCAGTTTTTCAAAGGACTATACTCTTATGATTATCTAAAATCATTAACAAAATTTTATGTTTGCCAATTCAAAAGTGGGCTATAAACAGGGTTCCGGAAACACTGGTCATTAAATTGACTTAAAAGCTGAACTGGAGACGAGATTCTTAAGAAACTCTGGCAATTAAATTGACTTAAAAGGAAAACGAATCTATTTATCTCCTAAGGATGTGTGGGAAATCGTATTGTTACAGATGAATCTCTTGGATAAATAGTATCACATTGAAAACTTCACGTGAAAACTGAGCTAATAGCTCAGTGACAGGCTATATATTTACTGAACTACTATCGTATCGAAAACACACTTAAATCATCAAGGATGTGTGTCATCATAGATCTTCACTACATTTTGCCCTTTGTTGCTCTTAGCATTTTTCCTTTCTTCTTCATGTTTTGCCAGCCATTTGCACTTGCTTTGCTTTTCTTGCCTTCAGGGTTTCATGTGAATGTCAAATGCCAAATACCCTCTTTTTTCATTGTTTCCTTAAAATGCCAACTGTTTCCTTTGATTCTAAGATAAATATTATTCTCAGTATTCTTCTGTAGATTCATATCTTTGTTGCCCCCTGTCCCCTTCTTCATCTGCGAGGAAATTTTCTAGCAGTAACTGCCATAGAAGACTGACATTAAATAACAATTCAGAAATATTTTCCTTCTTTCTAACGAAATTTACCTGTTTATTAATTCCTTGTAACAGGCACGGTAGAGGAATTGGTGAGCCGAGTTCGAATTCCCATTACATTAACATTGTGCTAATAACATTGGGAAATATATAAATTCATTTCTACTCCTCCCAACTGGGTTCTATAGCCATTTAGGATGCAACCGGCCTAGAAGAAGGAAAACTCGAAATTCAAAACTGTACGTAGCCCTAGCAAAGCACATACTATGCGGCTAAGGAAAGGATCTTTCGCGTTCACATTGACTCGATGGTTCCACTACGGTGGATTCCGTTTATTAATTTCTTGTTTATCTCTTAAAAGGTAAGTTTCTCTACACCAATGTGCATCTCTTTCTTACATTTTGCGTTATCTGGTAAAACATTTCCTACATAGTGCAATTTTTATTCTCGTTTGATTTTGCTATCTCCATTTGCAGCCCTCAATCTGAGCCCTTCCTCTTGCTGACAATCTTACGTTATGTCTTTCATATTATTAAAGGTTTCCCTTTTTCTTTCCGCCTTCCTGTATTACCTTTTCAATGATGTCCTGCAGATTTCTTTCTGCGTCTGTTATTAACCCCGTGTCACCTGTATACCTTACTTTGATAAGACTGTGACAACCAGTCTTGGTAGGCTGTCATTTTCCTTGATGATTGCCTCAATGTAAAGGTTTAAATCTGGCGAGAAGGTACATCCTTGTCTTACGTTCTTTTTTTATTTTTATGTATTTACTTTGCATGTTGACATTTTCCTTTTTTAAAAATAGAAAATAGCAGAAATATATATATATATATATATATATATATATATATTAACCATTACGCCCCGAGCAAGGCGTGAAGCCACTAGGATGCAGGGGGTTGCAGAAGATAGAAGATTTGGAGCGAGAGCAGATAGGAGAGATAGAAGAAAGGGTGAGGAGAAGGATAGTGGGTAGATCAAGGTAACTGGAGATGTCGATTGACATTACATTTAAATAGTTGGAGATTATAGCTCTCAGGGAAACAGTAATTGGGAAGGGTGTTCCACAGGCGAGAGGTGCGAGGTATGAATCTATTGGAGTAGAAGAGACGGCTACATTTAAAATTTTCTACAGTGTAAGGGTGGGAGCGGGATGCCAACCTCGTAGGGTGCTTGAATTCATGGAGTCTGGGAACCAGTGAGAGCAGCTCATCGGAGCAATTACCATGAAAGTATTTGTAGGAAAGACAGAGAGAGGCGACGGTGCGTCTGTGAGAGAGTGACTTTAGACGAGACGCCAGATCAGGGCCAATTAGATTACATATCCGTCTCTGGATCTTGTCAAGAACTCCGAGGTAAACAAAAGGTGCCCCATACCATATATGGCAGCAATACTCCATGCAAGGGCGAATGGTTGATTTATATATTTGAAGTATCGATTCCGGGGAGAAAAAATTCCTGGCGCGACACAGAGAGCAACAGTGTGTGTATGTGTTTAATGAGAAAAAGAACGAAAAAAAACTAACAAGGGAAGAATTGCTGGACCATCACATTTTTACTTGACCGCACTTGGCACAGAAGACAAAGTCCATGGACCGTTGGAGGCTAGGGCCTTATTTTCTATCAGAGTACTGTGAAAGCTGACGTGTTCTGTGCAATGTGGTATATATTCTTTTGTGGCATAAAATGGCCTGTAATGAAATTGGAATCTGTTTTGGCGATGGTTTGTTCTACCAAGATAACGCAAAACTTAATCGTGCGCGCGTGACAGAAATCTTGCTCGTAGAGTTCTATGCTTCTTTTCAGACATACCTCTGCACATCTCCTAGGGAGTTCCATGTTTAAACACCCATAGGAATCTATAAAATATGTTGCAGAACACAGTAAATTCTTTGTTATGAAGACCTACAAATTCAGTTCAGTTATGTAGAGTCCTGGAAAGTACTTGGATAGATATACACAGGCAACGTTTCGTAAAATTTATGTGACGTTGCATAATTGAACAATCAACAAGTAAAAGCAGAAAGTTCACGTTCTTAGATAACTACCTATATATATATATATATATATATATATATATATATATATATATATATATACACACGCGTTCTTAGATATATATATATATATATATATATATATATATATATATATATATATATATACGTGTGTGTATTTGTGTATGAGTGCATATGATTGTATAATATACGTAGATTTAAAAGATGAGTTATATCAAGCGACAAATACATATAAAGAAACATATATTCAGACAAGTATAGGTTTATCTTGCCTGCGGCAATGAAGCTGTAAATATGTGCCAAAATCTATCCTTTTTTGACACACTTCCGCGCATGCGCACTGATACAATTGCAACTTTCCGATTCGATATTTTATGATGTCCGGCTCAAGATTTTCCTCGCTTATATCACATAATTGACGAGCAAGTTATTCAAGTACCATCAACATATATTAAGAAATAGAGAAATTCTAGGAAGCCAAGATGGATAAATTGTGGCGATGGGGAAAAAGAAATAAAAAAATAATGGAGGCGAAAGACAAAAAGCAATGATGGTAGGAATCATCAGATGGAAAATGAAAAAAAAATAAAAAAACAAGAATAAAAATATGAAATGTTAACAAAGCAATGAAAAAGTTGTCATTTTTATAACGAAAAAATATCATGATGATTATGAATATTCGTACTGAAATATTCAGTATACTTTTGCTTTTATTAGTGTTAGAATCGCTTTTTGTAGGACGTGGATTGGGGTGTATTTGCTCAGAATGAGAAATCGGATAACCGTATTCGAATTTTGTTATATAGGAATAAAATGTCGCTACCGACACTTGAGTGTGAACATAGATCGCCAGTGAGCAAACACAGGCGACTCCATTATTGAATTAAGTAGGCCACCTGACCATGGAAGAAACACATAAGTAGGAAGTCGCATGACGTCTAAATGACCTGCATTTCTACTTTTCTCTTACCATACGGACCTCTATTCACTATACTATTTCTCTATTCATATCACTATACAGGTTCGAGTGAGTATTATCGAGCAAGTACTATTAGTGCGAGTGATATTCGAAGGCGTCTGACACCAGAATTGTTCAACGGCGTATTATAGTGGCATCAGCGATTACAAAGTCTCTACTAAAACGAATATTACGAAAGTGACAACGAGTATTTGTTGGCATCTCAAAAGTGGCAACGAGTTTTCGTTGACACCACAAAAAATTTCAATCAGATTCATTACATTCACTTAAGCGCAAATACCTTTCGGAAAGGCATTAATCCATATCTCCTCTCTCCATCAGTAGGTTGAATAGTAGGAAAAACTGGGTTCTATATCCTTGGTTGGCAACCAGTCTACCGCAGAGAGAAACGGTAGCATAATGCTGGGAATTAGTCAATCATGAATCGAAAGAGACATAATCTCCCAAGCGCATATTGCGTCTGGCACTTGACTGACTGAACTGAATAATGCTAAAGGGTAGAGAAGTAATTGATGATGATAGTTAACGTAAAATTGTTGGGAAGGAAAAACGATCGTGATATGAAAGATTAAACTAGGGAAAAGGAAAGCAAGTCTTCTTGCCTTACTCTTGGATATTACGTCAAAGAGTAAAGCAATAAGAAGAAAATGTCTTGAAGGAAAATATTAAATCAATGAAAATAAATGAAAACGATGTGAAATATAAGAAGGTGTTTACATAATGGATAACCATGAGAATAATCAAAGAAATCGATATTAAGTAAAAGCATAAAAAATGAATACGTATATAAATTTTGTGACTAACAGCGCGAAGTGAAGATGAATTGTACAAGGAGGCAATGATGGTGATTAGCAAGGAGAGTAAACAGGGACTGAGTAAATATGATAGCAACGTGTGGCCAGAAAGAGGGAAAGGAAATGTAAACTAAACAGGTGAAGAGAGAAAAGAAGAACGTATAAGTTTTAAGATAACATTTAGTAACATTTAAAACGAAGAAAAAAGAAAAAGAAGACGAATAATAATAATAGACGACGACGACGAAGAAGAAGAAGAAAGACAGACAGAGAGACAATAAAATGTCATGAGATGAGTGTGAAAGAGAGAAAATAGAAAGAAGTGAATAGGTAGACTAAGGTAAAAAAAAAAAAACTAAAATGAAAAGATAAGTGACCGTTCGAAAAATCAGCACAAAGAAAAAAAACAAGCGTATGAAGAGAAAGAAAGATGAATAACTATAAAAAAAAAATGAAAGAGAATAAAGAAAAAGGGTGATGAAAACGGAAAAAAGAGCAATGAAAAAGAGTCAAGAAACTGAATGAAGAAAAATAAAGACAAGGGCGTATGAAAGAGAAAAAAACAAATAGAACAACAAAAACAAAAAAAGGAAAAGGGAAATATATAAAGAAAATGGGAGATGAAAGCGAATAAAGAAAAAAAAACAAGAAAAATAACAACGTAAATGGAAGAAGAAAAGGAATGAAGAAACAGATAAAAAAAAGAATAATGAAAACGCGAGATAAAATGGATGAAGGAAAAGTGAGATGACAAAGAATAACAAAGAGAGATGAAAAAGGCTAAAGAAAATGCGAGATGAAAAATGGATAAAGAAAAAGAGAGATGAAAATGAATAAATCAAAATGGAGATGAGAAAAAATAAACAACGAAACGTCGTAATGGAAGCATCGAAGATCAAGTTGTGTAGATTGTGAACATAGCAAGTTCAAATGCAAGAATCAAGTGAAAATGAAGAATAAAAATCGGAATTTATGTGTCCAGAGAAATAGAGATAAAAAAAAACTTACCACCCGAAGAAACATTTTAAAAGAATACTTGAAAAAAAAAAAAGGATGAAGCGTACAATCGATTTGAAGAAAGAAACTCCCGATTCTGATGAAGAGGACCTAAAACAAAGTAGACAAAATATGAAAGAGAATAAATATGGATGCTTTCTTGTCCAAAGCAAATCTTACAAGGTATCAAACGAGAGCAGATGAAGAGAGAAATATATTGAGAATCGTAATGTTAAAAGAAGAACAAAAAATGGAATGAAATATGCATAAGTGTACAGGAAAGTATGTAAAAACGTCGTACTTAGAGACGGCAAAAGCCTCTTGGGCATTAAAAGACTTGCTGTAAAAGTGATAGTAATTGAATCGGAACAAGAAGATACAACACATGATCTGTCACTCAGTAAAAGTGAAAAGCAATATTCGCTGCTGATTTAATCAGTGCGGGACTCGTCGAAACAAATTCAAAGATTACAACCGCCCAACTACACTAGACTCTGATTGGAATGGAATGATACGTATTAAATGTGTAAGCTTTGCGCTTCTGTCGTCTCAATATTTTCTTCTATGTTAGATTTAAAACAAGCGATTAATGATTTATGATTTTTCTATATTGTGTGTGCGTGTAGAACTTTGTAACAATGTATAAATACATAAACGTATGCATACAGGCGCAGTCATATAGTAGCTTATATAATTATAGGGACGATTATTATGCTTGGATATAATTATAGGGACAATTATTATGCTTGGATATAATATGTTTATACAGAGTGCGATAGGTAAATTGTCATCATTTTATATTTTTAATCTAGCATGCGTGTTTTTTTTTTAATTTGTCAAGTGTGGGGTCAAATGAGCACCGTCTTCGAGAAAACGAGCACCATAACGCAATTCACTACGCCAGAAATTTGGAAACGGCATGTGGTACTACTTGGCATTCGCGCTGAAATCTCTAATACGACGGAAACCTACATCAAGTGCATTGAGGAGGTAGTGCTGCACTGATTCAAGAGGGTGGCTGCTGGCAGACCCTATGTGAATTGCGTCATGGTGCTCCTTTTTCTCAAAGACGGTGCCCAACTGACCCTACTGCACTATCCAGTCGACAAAATCAAAATGAAAAACGCGCATGCGCGAAATTAAAAATGTAAAATACCGACTATTTATCCATGGGACTCTGTATATATATATATATATATATATATATATATATATATATGTAGATATATAATGTAGATATATTTTAGAGTATAGAGGGCAACGTGCGCAGGTTGATTAATACAACACGAATTGTATCAAATTAGGAAAAATCAATTAAAGACAGTTATTGGATTTTTTCTCTATCAGACGTTGATCTTAATTGTATATTGTAGATACAGAGAAGTTTATCGACATTGTCAATTTTTCAGTATAAGCGCCACATTTTTATTACGTCATAAATGCTATCTGTAAGCATTACATAGATCTGTATCATTGCGTGTAGGTGTGTCTAGGTCTGTGTGAGAAAGAAACCCGCTTGTGTCATTAAATACATTAATAGCTTCATATTAAATTGAGGATATAAATATATTTTCAGGAGCACACACGTATCTGTTCATTAGGAATGAATGAATCAGTTTTTGCTCTGAAAGCATGCCTGTCTCAGTATCTATCTATCTATCTATCTATCTATATCTATCTATCTATCTATTGAGTGATTGCTTCGCTTTCTACGGAGTATGAACACTTTGCAAGTTATTTAAAGCAAGAAAATATTTTTAGATTGTAAGAAATTTTTGGCAGATAATAATGATTTAGCGATACATGTCATACTAATTAACTGTTAGCTGGGAAGAAAAGAGGTGTATTCATACTTTTCCCAAGAGTATTTGCTGGTATAACGAACCCAATGAGAATTGGAATTCGGTTCACTGATTATCAATTCCGAGTCATATCCATTACAACAGCCGACATCCAAGCTTAATAACGATTTGTATTTCCAGTCTTTCAGCAATCAGACCAGGACTGAGTTTGCTTAAACGGTGATCTAACAGAATCAGGGGTTTCAATGTGATGCGGCCGTAAGCCTATCTATCTATCTATCTATCTATCTATCTATATATATATATATATATATATATATATATATATATATGGTATAATTTGTCGTCTAAATTACACATAAATTAAAATAACACTGAGATCTCATTTTAACAGACATATTTACCAAAACTACCCCAAAATATCACGAAATAGTAATGAGTAAATTTATTCAATAAAATCGCCATTGGCTTCAACAACGGGCTCCAGGCAACTTTGGAATCTCCTGTATATATTCTGGGCTGTCCGCTTTTCCTTCCCTTCAGTTCATCGTTGATGCTACAAGGAGTTTTGTTGGTCTCTCGCTCAACTGTGCCCCACACATAATAATCAATGGGATTGCAGTCTGGCGATATAAGAGGTTAGTTATATTTGGTAATATGGTCGCAGAAATTCTCTGACAGCCATGACTGGGTTCTCCTGCTTTTGTGGTATTGTGCAATGTTCTGTTGCTAGACTTAGGGTCTTCCAGAAGCCACCCTCTTGACGCAGTGTAGCACTACCCCCTGAAGCCAATTGATGTAGGCAGCCGTGTTGAGTCTGTGGCCCTGTGGGAAGGTGAATGGAGGCATAACATTGCCGTCACTAGTGATCACTCCAAACACCATGATGATGACTGAATAAATCATCCAACTTTTTTTCCGTATAGTTTGCACTGTCGTTATGTTCTTATATAAATGAAATATTCTTATTGGAGCTTCCATTGTGAATGACAAGCAATAAAGTATGCCGTTTCCAATCTTCAGGCGGAGTGAATTGACTCATGGTGGTCTTTTTCTCACAGACAATCTCCAACCAACCCTACTATACTGTGCAGAAATTAAAAATATAAAATGCCGACAATTTATCCCTCCCTCTCTCTCTCCTCCTCCCTCTCTCTCTCTCTCCCTCTCTCTCCTCCCCTCCCCTCTCTCCTCCTCTCTCTCTCTCTCTCTCTCTCCTCCTCTCTCTCTCTCTCCCTCTCCCTCCCTCCTCTCTCTCTCTCTCTCTCTCTCCCTCCCTCTCTCTCTCTCCCTCTCTCTCTCTCTCTCTCTCTCTCTCTCTCTCTCTCTATATATATATATATATATATATATATATATTTATTCAAACAAGTTTGATTAAAAAGAATCAACAAGAACTGAAAATTTTTATTGTATTTTTCCAATTTTTAGATAAGGTGATCAGTATTTTCCTCAAAGTTTTGTATACACCTTCCGAAGTTCATACTTTTTTTTTATTTTTGTTTAAGTACTTTCGACTTTCGCAGTCATTATCAAGAACCGATAGGGTGATGTATGTTGTTAGAATTCCTTTGTTTGCGTCCTGGTATTCTTTGGGGAGCCAGAAGTTTGAAATGTTCTTCCGTGATGTCATCACTAACATCTATTGGGAATGAAGATGCACAAAATATACGATTTATTTTATTATTTAATTAATAAATAAAATAAAGGTTAATAAAATAGAATTTATAGGTTAATAAAATAAAATGTATAGGTTAATAAAATAAATTAATTAACCTATACATGCCTTTGTATACTATTAATTTAATATGATCACACATTAATTATATCATATTCAATAATGACATCCCAAATTTTCAGCAACAGTTTCTATAAAAGAAGGTGATTTTTAGGAACCTATTATAATTTTTTCTTACTAATCTGAGAACGAAACACTTTATAGTATCAAAAAGAATTAGACCTTTTGATAATTTAATAGAAAAAAAATATTCATTAAGATATTTCCAGACTTAAATACAGTTCTCATCATATTCCTGTTCAGAAGTTTGATGCTTTTTGACTCTCGTGTCATCAGATGTGTTATGGTTTCTTATCTACATTCGAACTGAATCGCTGTAGTCCCAAAGATCCAATGGAAGACCTATGAAATTTATGACAAGAATATTTGCTAAATTTCTTACTTCAAGACAAGTTCTTTTGTCAGTATAAATTATGTTCATCATAGAAAATACAAAAGTTCAGCCTCTGCAGAACTTACAGCAATGCTATTAATTTTATTTTTAGTCATTATATATCGGTTATTAATAGATAAGATTATTTTAAGATAATTAAACAACCGGTTAACTTAGAAATGGTAATTTTAAAAATAGGTTTGCGCGAAGTGTTTGAACCGGTGGAATGCCACCACTGATCATATACACTTCATGATTACATCTCCTAGAGTAAATTATATTTTATTTAATGCGGACTGATTATTTTGTATAATAATATATTGTAGACTTTTGAGTCTTTACTAGCATTTGGTGTTGTAGAGTATTTTGATTCAATCTACTAATATCTGTCTTATATTATCCACGACATCAAGCACAATTCTCAACACCATATCCGAAAATTGGAAAAACAGATTAAAAATTTGAACAGACGTCAGTTCTTTTTAATGAAACTTGTTTCAGTATATATATATATATATATATAAATACTTCAAAACTTATCTTGATATATAAAAAATTATATATTCTTATATATATATATATATATATATATATATATATATATATATATATATATATATATATTATAGCATACCTACGGACGATAATGGATATGTCCACATTCATAATAAATACAGTAGTAAATACTGTATGTTGGTCTGCAGTTGTAGATTCATTGTGGAATTCATTTAACTCATTTCTAGCAGTTGACTACTTCTATCCGCCGTTGGCAGATCTCATGTAGTGTTCTTGTTCTAAGTATTTTCGTTCATTGTGTCACCTTTGTGTGATTTTTCTATTCAGTAACATTTCCTATGATTATTTATATATATATATATATATATATATATATATATATATATATATAGAGAGAGAGAGAGAGAGAGAATGAGAGAGAGAATCGTATTAGCAAACATATTTTTTAACGAGGAATTCCTCAGGCTTTGTAATAGTAGGTGGATAATAAAAGAACAAGAATTAACAAGGCAGAAGATAATGGCTCAGTTGCATTTAAATATTTTTCTTTAAATAATTTCATGGTGATTGTTCGCATGAGCGTTTTTCTTTGATCCACCAACATGAAGAATTTTGAGTGCATTGACCGCGAGCTTGCTTAATTCTACTGTTGAATTGCTAAACATAGCTGTAATTCTATGCTAATAGCTTCTGCTCCCGCTTGTAAAACTGTTTTGTGATATTCAGATAACTGAATGCGATATCAATCTTTAATTTCTGTCTTCAAACTTGTTCTATTGCCGTCATCCCTGTTTCTTTCACTCTCAGCAAATTCTTGTGGCTTATTGTTTTTTTCGCCTTGCATGGGGTGAAATGATTAAAACAAATACAGAAATTCATGAACCCTGGACCAAACAGA